TGGTGGGCATTATGTGCCGACCAGAATGGCGGATACCATTCCCCACTGCTCAGCAGAATGATGGACCTACGGATTCTCTGAAATACGCATCGACTTCGGTATCCGAAACTTCTGACGGGTCAGGGTCATCGGGGTCGGATTTCTTGTTCGAGTCCATCCACCACAATATTCGCAACATCTTTGTCCAGAATCTGTTGTCCCAGATGGCATTCGTGGTGGAGCGCATGTCGATGAGACACGCACCTGCCAGTCTGGTAGCTTTCTGTGGCAAGGCGTGTGCATATGCCTTCTTTTTCTGCCCAGGAGTCGCAGACATCATGGTGCGCCTGTGGAACACGTCTCCGACGGTTTTCCGCCGCATTTTCGCCGAAAACTCTCAATCTCGAACCGGAAACCTCCGTGCATTTACTCAGGAGCTAGCTTTAAGCTTTCCCATGGCTCTTCGACCTTTGGCGTTCCATTCGCATGCACCACTCCTACGGTATATGAGACACAAACCCGAGCCTCCCCTGAACACCACCAATATCCCTTGGCACGGCCCTTGGGTTGCACGCTGGTGCGGACGCGACACGGATCTGTTCTTCGTTTTTGTGAAGTACATCCACATCCTCTACGCAGAGTACATGCCACCGGAGACGGAGAAGGCGAAGAGAATCTTGGCTCCCGGGTTGCTGCTGGTTCATGCTCAACTTCTGATTGCCATTGAGGAGACTATCTATAAGCAGTCCCTGCACCAGCAGGAAAACACTCAGGCTGCGGCTGCGGCTGCGGCTGCGATCACTTTCGACGATCTCATCGAATCGCCCGATGCCTCCGCCTCGCCTCACTCCCTCGTAGGAGGTAGGAACAGCCACAGATCCATGGCGGAGAACCGTCTCATCATTCTTCTACGGGACTTGCTCTCAGAATCTTCTTCCGAGCCTAATCGCGCGCGCCTGCTCTATGCGGAGACTTTCTGTGGACTGCTCAAGGTCGCTGCTCAACGAATCTCTTTGTTTGATCACAATGCGTGCTTCCTACTGTGCGACTTCCTGGAAGAGATTATCCCAATTATCACTCGATATGCACAGTCTATCGAGACTGAATTGTTTGATTGGAGTTTCTGGCAGGAGGTCTGTCGGCAGACGATGCAAAGCCATAACTCGCTGACCGAGGTGCGCGTGTTCTCCTTCATCTACACCATTTGGGGTACTTGGGCTGCGACAGAGGAGCGCAAGGCGAGCCTTTGCTTGGAGTTTTTGTTGCACGAGCCGATATTCTATCATTACTTCAATCATTGGAGTCCGATGGTGCGCGCCTATTATCACCGTTTACTGTGCTGGAGGATCGGCCGTTTCGGTGGAGAACCATCCCCGCTTGACTCGTAAGAATGGACTGACCCTTCTTCTCCCACTTCCCCTTGCTAACGGTCTCCATAGAACGATATACGAGACGCTATCTGACAGGTTGCTACGAGTCTGGGAGTATTATATTGGATTCCAATCCAAGGCAGAACAGGGGCTCACTGCGCCGCTTTCTTCCGCTCCTTGCACCCCGGCTCCAGGGCGACGGATCATTATCATCAGGTGTGATAATCAGCTGTCCCCGGTCAATCTTTTTGTATCGTTCGACCGAGTGGTCCCGCCCGTTCCTCCCGATAAGGCCAAAGCGCACCGGCGATCTAGTTCTGCCGACTCAACTAGCTCGGACGGCCAGCCACCGAAGCGGAGATGGGGCTTGCTTCGCTCTATGTTCGGTAGTTCGGCCAAACCTGAATCTGCAGACGGCAGTAGCTCGGATGAATCCGACGGCGGTGCCACGGATCTGACGGTAACTCCGGATAGCCGGTGCTTGGATGAGCATGAGAAAACCCCGAGCCAAAGCTCGGAAGAGCTCATTCGACCCAAGACCCCGCATCAGCCGTATTTTTTCAAATTCTCCCTGGAATGGATGGACCGGCCGAATTGGCCCACCAGAAACAAGCGCCTTTTCACGCCCTGCCTCCCTGTGGCTTCGCAACTCCATGTGCAGCACCGCCGATCTCTGTCTGATTCCAAGTCTACCGAGTTTGATACCGCATCAGAAATGCTGTCTTCTTCTGAAAACACAGTTGATGAGCAGTCAACAGATGGGCATGTAACCGACCCAGCACCCGCCTCTCAGTTAGTTGTGGACAGCCAGCCAAGGACGCCTACAACGAAGAACTCTCCGCTGCCCGAGCTCCCGCCTCAACCTAAACAGGAGTACATTGTGACTAGCAAGTATGCTGGCCGCGCTTTGGCAGAATGGGCACACATTGTCTCCGAATGTGACAGTTTTTTCGCCCGCCGACGTGACGAGGGCGTCCCATCTGATCGCATGGTCGAGACGCCTAGCTTGGGCGTGGAGAGCTTTCGGAAGTAGAAAGACTCGTCGTCTTCTCACTCTCTTCCGACTCGGTCGTCACGCGAGACCGGAACATCTACCTACCACCTTCATTCCCTGACCAAAAACCCACCTCTACTACCCGCTTTTTTCTTTTCCCTTTTGAAGCGAATATAGACGTCTTGTCGTTCTTCTGTTAGATGATGCCGTTTTTAATACTCTTGTTGGCCTTTCCTTTCTTCTTCTTTTCCTACTCTCTATTCTGTCATTCTACTTCGATTCTGCACCGTGTGCATTTCAGGTTCTGGGGGCATAGGACACCGGCGTTTTTTTTTTTTTTTCGAGCCTGACTCTCTTTTCTATGTCAATGGGCTTGGTTGGGCGGATCTGTTCTTTCGTTTCTCTTCCTTTTTTCCCCCCGCCGCTGAACCATCTGCCTTGTCCTTACTTCTCTCGTCTACTTTTCTTTTGTTTTGGAGCGAGATACACTTTGGCCGTGGTAATCATAGTGAGATCACAAATCAATGGAGATTTCCAAGTACTGGAATCTGGGGTTCAAACCGTGTCTGGATGCAAGTTTATGGTATTATTTGTAGACCAAAGAATCTTTCCGAAATATCTTATTTGATATACAATCATCATTTAAATGTTATAGTAGCTACGTTATACCCGGGATTTTCTCTCCCTTTATTGCCCCTACTGCGCCTGCTGCTTCTCCTCCGCAATCTGCTTTTTGAGCAGATACAGCAGCGGGCCCTGCACGTCCTCTCGCTCCATGAAGACCTCGACAATACGCACACCACTCCCACTGTGCACCCGTTCATTCTTCAACACCTCTTTCAGCTCACCACACGTCCAAGCCTGGAAAGTACTGTTCTTCACATGCTCCTCATCAGCACCGAAATACGTCAACGCCTGCGTATGTCTCCAGAACGGCACATCATTGTATCCCTGCTTCCGGCCATGAATAACGCGCTCAATGGTATACCCCTCATTATTGACGATGAAGATGAGAATATCTAGCTTCTCCTTGATCATCACGCTGATCTCCTGTGCGGTCATCTGTAAACTGCCATCACCGATGATAAGGACGGTCTGGTTCTTGTGTCCGGTGGGTTTATTGAGTTCCCTCTTTGCGAGAGCGGCGCCGAGTGTGGCGGGGAGCATGAATCCGATGGAAAGCCAGGTGACCGCGCCGAACAGGCGGGATTTCGGGGGCAGTTTGAATTTGCGGCCGCCATAGGAGGCGGTGCCCGTTTCGGTGAGGATGATGTCGCCTTCATTGAAAAGCGGGTTGACGAGGCGGTAAAAGTTGTTTTGGGCGATGATGTCTTGGTCGTTGATATCGGATGTGGTGATTTCGAGTTTAGCGGGGCCGATGCTTTGTACGAGGCGGGCGGAGTCGAGGGATTGGAGGAGGTGGGTGAGGACGGTGCTGGAGGAGATGTCCCGGTAGATCTCGTCTTCGACTTGGATGGTGGTGTCTTTGAATTGGATGGCTGCGGCGGACTTGGGTACCGTCGTGTAGAAGTAGGTGTTTGTGTCGCTGTAGTGTGGGCCGAATGTCAAGATTAGGTCTGCGGACTCGAAGTATTCTTGTGCGGGCTTGTCGCCGAATGCTGCGGCGTACAGGCCGTAGACATTGGGGTGCTGCTCGTTGACGAGACCCTTGCCGTAGACGGTCGTCCATGTGGGCCAGTTGGTAGTCTTAATGAGGGAATCGAGTTGATCCAGGATACCGAGAGCCCGGCTCTCGCCATCGACGAGGATCAACGGCTTCTTGGCGCTATAAAGCCGCTCCAGAATCCGGGCGATCACCGTCGATTCATGTGCGGGACTCGGGGTCACTGGGACACGGATGGGAGTCTTCAGGTTCTCCGCAGAGACCAGAGTCTCGCTCATATCATCCGGAATCTCCAGATACACGGGCCGGCTATGGATGAGCGCCTGCTGCAAGATCCAATCGATCTTGTCCGGCGCCGTCACCGAGTCAATTACATTCGTCTGGGCTGCCGTGATATGCGTGGACATGGCTGCAAAGCGGCGGTACTCGCCATCGGAGAAGGTATGGTGCATCAACGCGCGCGAGTGCTGCAGCGCTCGAGGGGGCGTTCCGACGATGTGAACCACGGCGGACCTTTCGGCGTATGCGCCAGCAATTCCGTTGGCAGCAGACAGCTCGCCGACGCCAAAGGTAGTCACTAGCGCGGACAGACCGTTGATACGGGCATAGCCATCGGCGGCATATGCAGCATTCAGTTCATTGCAGTTGCCCACCCAGTGCAGACCCGAGGGCTCAACATGGTCGAGCAGGCGCAGGTTATAGTCGCCCGGGACGCCGAAGACGGAGTTTACGCCGAGTTGGAGTAGGCGGGTGAAGAGATAGTCGCCGAGCTGGATCGAGTCTGGCGAAGACATGATGAGTTCCGTAGTGTTGTTGTATGATCAAGCCCAATGGAGAAGAAGAGGAGAAGGTCCGAGGAGGGGAGAAGCTGGCCCTGGTCCTTTATACCAAAAGCTCCAACTCCGCAAACTCCAACAATAAAAAGAAGACCCACAGTTTTGCCCCACTTGGCCCGGCGTGACCTTCTTTCTTATCGCCGACTGGCCGGTTCCCCGCTGGTAACCGAGTGACTACTTCTTCAGTCTCTTCGGAGCTTCCACGCCGATCCGCATTGTGCAATTCACATTGTATGCTACATGGCATCGAGACTCGCAGCATGCGAGCCCTGTCGCAAGGCCAAGCTAGCCTGCGACCATCAACGGCCGGTGTGTTCGCGCTGCCAGAAGAGTCGGGGCGTGTGTATCTACCGCACGGCCCCATTCAAGCGGCGGCGGGTCGAGAAACCGAGGTAGGATCTGAATTGTAGGGCGCCGTAGGGCGTATCGCGGCACTCCTTATCCATTCCCCACACCTTCTGAGATATGTATGAACTAAATTTCGGGTTTGCTTAGCGTGCGATCGCCTGATCCATCGCCATCGTTCGAACCGCGGCGCAATCTGTATCCGAATCCTGGATACTTGGGCTCGTCGAGCCACGCTGCCATATTTAAGCACATCACCCCGTCTACGGATGGCGAGCAAAGCGCGAGTAACCAGCTATCGGGCTCCGACAACGTTAGCTCGCAATGGATCGGTGATAATCACTTGCTACTGCAGGGCGCAGATGTCTTGCGACATGTGTTAACTACTTATTCCTTAACGGGGATGAAAGACCTCGTCTTGTTTTGGCTGGCCAAGGGTGCAAATCTAGCCCTTGCAGAACCATTCGTGGCACAATGCGCCGAGAGTGTCAGTCAATTATTTACATCGCACGATGAAAAGTGGCATTTGGTATATGCCCAGCGTTTACTACAAAATTCCGTCCGGCCGTTGCAGTTTGATTCATCATCGGATCTGGAGAGTTTTTCCGCACAGTTTCTGGATCATAATGCGAGATGGGAAACCTTGGGGATTTTCTTTGCGGCTGTTAGCCGAGCGACAATTGATATTCCATTCTTTCCGCTGCTCTACAATTCTGAGGAGCAGCAGTATACGTTGAGACGTCTCGCGACCAAACTGAGTGATTTTTCATTGGAGATCTCCTTGTCACTGGATTGTTTGAATGACTTGCAGCTGATGGTACAATATGAGAACTTTATTGTACATTCCTACGTGGATGGGGATCAGAGTGAGTTGAATGAGTTCAACAATCATCTTCTGTCTCCATCGACTAACTCAGTCCAGGCTATCACACCTGGCGCAAGCTTGGAGATGTGATCTCCTCAACCTTCGCCCTCGGGTACCATGAGAACCTTGAAGCAAAGCCTGGAATTCCATTATTTCTAATGGAGCTGCGGAAAACGGCTTTTGCCCGGATCTACTCTGCAGACAAGAACATCGCAATTTTCCTCGGCCGTCCACCACGAATGAACAAGCGCTTTTGTCACTTCCAGATTCCATCCGATGGGACGATATTACGTTCGCTCGGAACGCACTTTACCTGGAGCCCGGATGCGAGAGCTGGCTATAGAGCAGACACGTGCTGGTCTGCCCTTTGTGCTTCCTTGAAAGAGGAGGTCTGGGAATTGTTGCAAGATAAGCAGGATGCTGACTGTGTGCGGAGAGCAAGGTAAAGTCGAAATCCTTAATTGTTATATAATGATGTGAACGGCTCGAATACAGAACCAAGAAGCTGATAGAACGATAGTCTGATTCAGCGGAGAGCGGAGGAACAGTGGGAGGCTCTGCCACCCCAGTTTCGACTGGAGAGTAGCCTGAAGCAGTGTGCGCAGAGCCCCTTTGACAGAGATTTCTTAGCACACGTTCGGCTGAACCATTTGCATGTCCTGTTTTTGCTACGACTCCTACTTCTAAACACGCTCACGGAGCCTGATATTCCCATTATCGAGACCGCAGGCCAGATGCTTGCTCTTGTCGTGGAGCTCATTCTACTGCGGGACCAATTAACCAATTCAGGAACGAGTCTCATCTGGAAGGTATACAGCCTACCGCCGTCACTACACTCCATCGTACAAAGTCCTAGCTAATTGTACCAGGTCGCATACTACGGACTCCCAGCAGCAGGAATCATTCTCCTAGCATTACTGAAACAATACTCCCACTCCTCGCCGGGCATCTCACGAACAAAAATCCTGCGAGATTTGAGCGTCTTCGTCGCAGAGGTCCAAATCGGAACGTTAGTGAAAACCGGGGATCCGAATTATGCATTGCTATCCAAAGCCACGCAAACGATTCAGCGGTTTCTAGACTCGTTCAATTCGGATGCTGGACAGTCTCACGAGGCCGGGACTGATGATGCGAATGAAGATTGGGCGGCTCTGCTGAGTCAGGATTTGTGGGATTTCGAGGCTGGGTTTTGGCAGAGTTTGGCTGATCATCCGTCACTTTTGGTGCTGGATCCACCGTTGCCTGGTGTGTGAGGGTTTGATAGACCGAATTTGATCAAGGACAAAATTCCTTTCAGGATTTGGGCATTTAGATAACATATGAAAGAGCTTTGGTACTCTACAAGAGTCGCAGCAGAGAGCTCAATTTGAGTCCTCTGGTCTGTTCCATTTGAAAGCCTAGCTCACTAGGTGGGCAATCATCAGGCTCGGGGTTCCACTGAAAACTCAAGGCTATAATCTAAGCATTGTTACAACCAGTCCGACGTCAATCGAAAGCGGGAGCACATGCTTATGTTCACGCTACTAAGGTCCAACCACTTACATTATCTCGATGACCACTCGAGACTGAATTGGAGGGATCAAACAGATCATAGCTAGTCAGCTTTGGGTTGCAAGTATAAAATTCTTGTGTCAATCATGTTATCCCCCGCCCGCATTGGTTCATGGTGATGTTACATCCTGTAACAGAAAGTAGCCAATAGTGACGTAGAAAGGTCAACACGATCAGGCGTGCCTTTTGACTTTTGCTTCTAGTCTCAGAATTCAGAATCGTCCCATAATTCCCTTCCAGTCAAAACAAACCTGGAGAGAAACGATAACGATTCGTACCCAAATATTGTGCACTCATGGTTCGAACCAAACGTACAAAAATAGAATGCTCGTCGTTGGTCCGAGTCCCGATCTCGGATCCACCGATTACATTTGCACTTCATCATAAAGCCCCTCATGACCGGATACAATCGCTTTGTTTCTTTTTGTCCATAACAGGTTTTGATTCATTCTATAGGCCTCGAACTCGATATTCTATCCGAATAGGTCCGAAGAGATCTGCTCCCTTGAGCCAATTATCCTTGCTGGCAAGGATGGAGCTTGGACTCCCAAGCTAACCTAGACCTGACTATTTTATTGAACTGATCGCATGATGGCTTGAGACTACCCAAACGGCAGCCCGGAGACCACGGCTACGAATCCACTGTTTTGTGTTATCCTCAAGAACTCGGAAGTAGCGGGGGAACAAGGGTCTTCCATGTTTACGTCTAAGCTATTGTGGGGTCTTGACTACTGGTAAACTCAACAGGCAACATTGCCAACAAGCATCAGAGACATTTAGATGAAATTCCAAGGATAAGTGCCGCTTACATCCGCTAAATAATCGATCTGACCAATGATTATCCGCGAATCTATGCAGAATTGGTTAGCGAGCCGTGGTAGGCGAGGTCGCCACCTGCACCCGCGCTAACAATTGCACGATTCTAGTTAAAGCGCGGAAGCTGTTATTATTCAAGTTGCTGCTGGGGCTCAACAGAGGCAGATCGTCAATCGTTCCATGGGATTTAAGACTATGAATGACGTCTACCATCGCTTTCATAACGCTGCCCGCTGATCAAGTTCTGCCAGGCGTTTTGCCTGGAGACGAATTACCTTACTTCCCCTTCTCTCAGGTATAAATTTACTGCAAATTCCACCGTAATCGATTTTACTTGTTAACCTCAGCAAATTAAACTTCCATCGTTCATCAGACGGGTAATCATCCAAATTCTGTCGTTATCATCCGAATTCAACACTTAAACAAACCATGAAGAGCTTCTTCGGAATTGCGGCCATTGCCGCAGGTACCCAAGCTCTTGTCACTCGCGGTGGTAGCTGCTGCTTCCATTTGACCGCTTCGGGGGGTTCATCTGGCTCTGTGGGACAGCTTAGTGACGGACAGAACCGCATCGGAGACAACAGTCTGTCTCCTGCAGAATTTTGTATCGACTCAGGCTCTATCACTGATGGCAGCGGCCGCGGCTGTATCCTAACACGTAAGTGACGGTATTCCATTCATATGGAGATCTTACCGTCTAACGAGTCCTTTCAGCACCTACTACCCAGTTTCAGTGTGACGTGGGTGCCACTCCCACTGCAGGCTTCTCTATTAACTCCATGGGATTGCTGGAGTTCGACGGCAGCACCAATTTTGTTGCTTGCGAGACTGGCCAGAACGGAGGTCTCAACATCTATACTACCGAAAGCTCCGCTCTCAGCAATTGCAAGACCATCCAATTGACGGCCGACTCGTGCGCCACCCCACCTCAGACCACGACCACTCAATCCTCAGCTGCAACCACTTCGGCCGCTAATACTGGCTGTGGCACCACTTTGACCTCGAACAACTTCGAATTCCCTCACTTGATCATCCCCATTGACTCGTCCTCTCCCAATACTGCTGCTGGTACCAAGTTCAATGGCAAAGTGACGTCGTCCGTCTCGAGTATCTTCAACTTCGACATCCCCAAGTCGGACTCCGGCAAGACCTGCAGCTTGGTCTTCCTATTCCCCAGGCAGTCGGACCTTCAGACATCATCCTTTACCTTTAGCGGCGATGGTAAGGTCGATTTTGCTGAGCTGTCAAGCGCTGCCACTACTTCTACCACCTTCAACAATGCTCCTTCGGTCTCCGAGGATCTTGGCACAATTACCGTCTCGCCAGGCAACTCATTCGTTGTCTCCACCTTTTCTTGCCCTGCGGGCAAGACTGTCGCCTTTGAGATGAAGAATGCTGGGAGCACTAATTTTGAGTTCTTCCAAGACTTCAATCCCTCTCCGTGAGTGCCACCGTCTGCGCTTGTGTTCTGATAGAACCTCTACTGACATTGTCATAGTATCGGCCTCTTTATTACAGTTTGCTAAAGCAAACACCCGATGTAATATGAAAAGCATACCAAGATTATGCATGTATTTGTTGATTTATATCTTTCTTTTCATGAAAAAAAAAGAAAAAGAAAAAGAAACAACTCATGGTGCAATAATTCGATATGCTTACTCCGGTCAGGTTCCACTGCCCCGTTGGTCGATTTTTTAGTTGGTGATTTGATCCAATCTCCTCGAATCTCATGTACTTTATCTGTGAATCAGCTTTTTGAAAGCAAAGGATGCTGTCTCCTTATATGTAATATCAGTGATGCCCTACGCTAGTGAACGGTAGACTCAGCGCCAAAAACGGCGACTCTTGATGCTGTTTCAAGTGTAGTTCTTCTTTACCGCAATCTTAGTCATCGAACCCATGCTACTTAACTAACTAGTTAAATCCCTAAGATACTGAGTCTCGAGATCCGATCTTTATAGCCCCACCGCTTAGCAATATTTCTTGCCGATGACAAATCCAAGTATCTCTCCACTTTGTTGACTACAGTCAAGAGCTAGTTGGTCACGAAGGAAAAAATAAGCTAATAGAATTTTTCAACTTGGTTTACACTCGCCCTCTCGATTTAAGGTTCCCTTCGCATTCGGTTATTTCAGTTCCGATGCCCCCGATGACGTCGAACAAAGCCGCCTGGATCAAGAAAGCCGGTAGCTTAATTGAGGTAGAGACCGTCGAGAACTGGGTTCCTAACTCTGGGGAGCTTCTGGTCCAGGTCGAGGCTGTCAACTTCAACCCCATTGACGCAAAACTTCAAAGGTACGTGTATGGACAACGGCGTCTGAGAACGTCTTACTGATATTGAACCGCATCAAGGTCTGATATATTTCAACCCCAATACCCGCTCATTGTTGGATTCACATTTGCGGGGACGGTTACTTCTACCGGTCCCGGTGTCAGTTCGGTCAAGCCCGGTGATCGAGTAGTCGTGGGCCGATGGGGCAAGGCTGGAAGCGATAATAAGTTCGGAGCGCTTCAGAAGTATGCACTAGCTCTGGAAGAGTATACGTTGAAACTTGAGCCAGAGATCAGCTTTGAGGATGCCTCGGGGGTTATCGCCAACTTAGCGACCGTTGTCTCTGCTCTCAATATCTACATGGGCTTGTCTTTGCCTCCGACTGTCGGAAAGGCCCAGCCAAACGGCAAGCGAGTACTTGTGTATGGTGGATCATCGGCAGTTGGAGGACTGGCCGTAAAGTTTGCTTCGGATGCTGGGTATGAGGTCGTAACTACCTCGTCGATGGCGAATAAGCAGCTTGTCCAGGAGCGGAATGCAGCCCATATAATCGATCATGGCCAGTCGAACGAAGATATCCTCCGGGAACTACGAGCCCATGGACCTTACGAAGGAATTTTTGAGGCCATTGGCTCGCAGACGACCACACAACTCATGGTGGAATTGCTTCGAGGAACCGGCGGCCAGTTTTTCTCGACCAGTCCTTCTCCTGGGGATGATCAGATTCCAAGCAACGTTCAGAAGAAGTGGGCTGGATATTCCGAGACCCTTGTCTCCGAAGAAGAAAACCGGGCCTTACGTGTGTGGTACTTGGAGATCTATCTACCGGAAGCCCTGAAGAATCGCTCGGTATGGCCCAATCCTGCATTATGGCTCAAAGGAGGCTTAAACTCCGCTCAAGAGGCATTGGATTTGCTGTATGACGGCAAGGTCAGTGGAAAAAAGATTTATCTCAATCCGCAAGAGTAGCATAGTATCGGCTGGCATTTTATTTGTTTTAAGATGATATAGCATAATCGGATATTTTACTTAGATACATAAATCGCTCGTTATTTCAGTAGCTAGAGAAGCTCCCGCTTGTTACCTTCCGAGACCAGGCATGCGTGCGGTTGAGCAGTCACACGGCAACAAGTTTCGTATATTAAATTTCGAGGCATCTACGTATTGCACTGGTTCGAGGCTGTATTCAATACTTGGCCCGATCCTCAGGATGCGCCGCGTCCTTCGACCGTAGCGGGCTCAGCACATACGAATACTCAAACTTTCGATCGACGAACCTCAGGAGCTCGGGGTCGACATTGTTTGTGTTGAGCCCCATTTTGTATCCTTGCCCGTCTGTAGGCGGAGGTTGTAGGGGCCACCAATAGCATCTACCGTACATAACATTAATTTCTTCGATAGAACGGAGAGGAAATTACTTGACTGACACGCAACCGCAGTTATCGCAAAAGTTGAACGACAGGTCTCGATCGCCCCAGATGTACTGCTTTGTCACTGCATTTGGCTTCGTTTCGATCTTCACTTCGTCGGGATGGTAGTAGCCCCAAGCAGCGCCATAGCGTCTACAGATCGTGCATTGGCATACGTTGATGTGATCGGGGAGTCGGGGAACTGTGACTGTGATGGCGCCGCAGTGGCAGCTGGAGCGGATCGAGGTTTCTGTCGCTGCCATGTTGTCTCGTGTTACCCAAGCTGGGGAGTGTCAGACGGAGTATGACAGCGTGAGAACGTCGGCTAGTCAGTTACGTTGGATAGCTAACCTGTTAGTTACTTAAGGGTGTTAGCTAACTAACTAACTAATTAACCAATGTCAGCTTATCTAAGGGCGACCCCGCCCTTCTAACTTATGATTCTGCCTGTTAAGTAAGGCAAATATCTCTACTGTAGAAAAACGTCTAGTTCTATCTGGGCTAAACCGTACGATGTTCAATGGTGGTTTTAGAAATCTCTTAGAGGGTTATACTGTCTACTTAAAGTCAGTAGCTGGCATAGGTTGCGCACAAAAGCCAATGTGTCACGAAGAGAAGAGATGAAGAGTGATAATTAAAAAGGAAACAATTCGTCATGCGACCGTCAATAACTATCAGAGTTGAGCAAATTCCACTAGGTACATACGGTATTCAGTCTCGGATCTGAAGAGAATTCAAATTTGTTCTTCTCAATTAGCGATTAAAGTGCATCTATCCATAAAATAGGCCCAGATCTAGTGATTCACAGATCCCTCTTTTACATCATTCATACATCTTCCTCCATTCTAAGACTTCAATATAAACAAGGCATATAAACCAGACGTTCAATCATCGGAGATGGCAAACTTGCTCAGAGAGCGAAGCCGGGCACCATAGTAGTAAAGCAGCCAGATTCCGATAATACCAATGACACTCAGACCACCGAGTAGACTGGTACCCCGAGCGACACCGAGGTTGCCAAACAACGGGTGAGCAAACAGGACACTACCGCAAGCCAGAGCACTGCGGAAGAAGTCATTCGCAGCGAACAGACTAGCAGCGTACATTGGATAGCTCAAGGGGATGTAGACAAACAAGCACTGCATCACGATGAAGACCGTCGCACCGTAGATGGTGATTCCAATTGTGGGGGCAATCCAGTGGATTGAGGCACGGGCGGTCCAGGCGAAGAGGAACAAGCCAATGGTGGGTCCAATAGAAGCTGGCAGAGCGGGGATAAGACGGGACTCTTGAGCTGGGAATCCGAAGCGTTCAATGCGAGGATTCATCCAGAAGTAAAGGTAAGACCAGTAGATGGCGATACCGATGATGCAGGATACCAGGATACACAGGAAGACCAGGCCAACTTGGCCAAGGTTCATGCCATAATCGACGGGGTAGACCAAGGGGAAGACCTCGAAGAAAGAGTAGTAGATGCCGTAGATAATAGCAGTGTAGACCTGAACGAAGAGCACCGCGGGATCTTTGATGGTAATCTCCAAAGGCTTAATCAGGGCGTCGACGGCAACGGCCGAGACCTTCATGTTACGCTGGTCAATCTCGGACTGAGCCATGAAGCGTGCGTTATTATGGATCTTGCGGAGACGAGCGGCGCGACGGAGCAGGATAGTTGCACTGCTAGTCTCGGGGAGGAAGAAGAACATCAGAATGAGGACTGGAGCTGACATCCAAATGGATTCAAACAGGGACCAGCGCCAGGTCTCGGCGGGAACTGCGAAGCCACTAATGAGAGGACCCAGGGCGGCTGTATGACAATGTTAGCATTGACTTCACTATGTAATAGGTCATGGAAGCAGGAGAATCAACTTACGACCACAGTAAGCGGCGGACACCCAGCTCATCATGGCATAAGGAAGAGACATGAGACTGTACATATCGCCAATTGAAGCACCTCCAGAAGCGAGACAAGGTGAGCCGAAGAATCCTTGCAGGAAACGAAGCACCATGAGTCCCGCAAAGTTACCCACAAAAGCAGTGGGAATGGAGAGAATCACAAAGAGGAACATGGTCACGATATAGACCGGGTTTCGACCAATCACGGGGATCTCACTCAGAGGTGAGAAGATCAGCGGACCCGTTCCATAGCCAAGGACATACAAGGACAGTCCCAGTGTAGCAACCAAGTCACTGACGCCGAACTCCTTCATAATCCCGGGTACGGATGATGTGTAAATTGCGGAGGTCGTGTATACCACAAAGGTATAAAGACAAATGAGCGTCGTCAGAAGTGCTCGCTTTCGATTCGACCAATTGTGTGGGTTCTCTGCATCATCGGTATAGTACCAGTCGACCAAAATCGCACCATCCTTGGTCTTTTTAGGCTGAATAGGAATGGACTTGATCTTTTCGATCTCATGCTGCTCATCCGCTTCCAGTCGAGCTTCTGTGAAGGGCAAGGAGTTTTGGGTTGATGCGCGACTAATCGCCTCGCTGGTTGCATCGTAGCCCTGACCCTCTGGCTCCGGCTCCGTTTTCTCGGGATCGGCTATCGTCGCGGCATCCGATTCGTTCAATAATTGAAGCCATGTATCAGGAAGTTTGAAGTCCGGCTTTTCTTCGGGATATTGGAAATATTTGTTGTTGGTGAGATATCGAACTATTTGCCCAAAGGGGGCCTCTCGAATGAGAGATGCCATTGCTAGGGGAAGACAATCGGGTGGATCCTTAGGGCTGGCTGGCTGGGAGAAGTACAAGCTGAAGCTGACAAGCCCTGAAAACGGGAAGGTTATGATTCTGGATGGAAGTACACCGCAGGAATGGTAAATTATGGATGATGGATTGATAGAAAAGCTTTTACGAGGCTAGGTAGACATCGGACTTTTATAAGCTGTCAAATATTCCATTTAACCTTTCATTGAATAGCTCGGAACGCGTTAACGCCGATTCGAATCGTTTCGAAAACCGTCAACCATAACGCGATCATAACGTTAAGGCGTGGTAGTGGTACACGCACGACATCAGCAGAGATTACCATCGACGAATTATAAATCAGAGCTAAATCTGATTCCCAATCCATGGAAGGCCCAGTGGATATTATTCATCTGCTTAGATATCCACGATCCTCATCCAATCATCATCCCCGTTGTCTACAGGGCTGTCCTTGGGGGCTCCACTATGTCGACGTTCTTGCATGTCATAATTGCCCCGAGCTCCGACCTTTTGACGCCAGCTTAACTCCGTCGCACCCTCGGCTTAATTACGAGAAGTCTCCGGTTCGTCCATCCCCCAAGGACGAAAACTCGGCCTGCCGAACACGAGGCTGCGATTGCTGACAATTCAAGATCTGGATCTAGCTTGAGGAATATGACGAGGGGCTTGGCATGATTGCATCGATAACGGTGATTGATTCGTTGGCACGTCTTTTTACGACGGTTCAGCGCCGTTCGGTCCTAGCGTTATGGCCTAAGTCCGGTTCTTCTTCGTACTTGAAGCCTGGCCCAGAGGCTCCATAAGGTTGACTCATCTAAAATACAGATCCTAAAATCCTAAACTTGGATCCACCACCGGAAAAACAACTCCACCCCTCCGGATTCCCCACTGTGTCCAACCATTTACCTCTTCAGGCATCCTGAATGACTCAAGAGGAGGCCGAGAGCCCGGCAGCCTGAATGAGGAATTGCGCCGCCTCCTTGGCGTTGCTGCCATAACTCAAGTGTGCCATCACGTTAAATCCGTTCTCGCACACGGGGTCCCCGCTGGCACAGAACTCCTTGACCTTGCTGCTGGCAAGCTTGCCGACGGCCTGGGTCTTGAATGGGTCGCCGAAGAGCACGGCACCGGCGACCTGGTCGGCCGTCAGGCGGCTTGCGGCATTGTGGACGACCATCGAACCCTGCGAGTAACCACCCAGCACGACCTTGGTGTCGGGGCACTGCTTGAGAGCAGTCTCGACCAGCTCGGCCATGATAGGGCCGCCGTTGGCACCGAGGGCCACGTTGCTCTGGATTTGAAATCAGCCCGTTAGTTGGTTTTGAACCCATCATGTATGCAAGTATGACAATATATGCACACCCGAAAGGAAAATGGTGGATGCACTTACCTCGGCAGTCGCAGCATAGGTCACGCCCTGGACGTTCACCTTGTTGCCAGTCAAGGTCTTCAACTGAGTAGCAACGGGCGGGCCAACCACGGAGCCCATGTTGCCCAATTCCTCGCTACCGCGAGCGAAGATAAAAGTCAGCTCCTTGCAGCTAGCCTTGTCGGTGACGTCGTTGGCCGTAGTCGAGCCTGTGAGCTGTCGCTTAGAAAGGCCTCCTAGAAGGCTGCTGATACCAGAGCTGGACGAGGAACCACTCAGACCTGAGCCCAGACCGGAAAGCGCACTGAGGCCGCTGCTGTCACTGCTCGATTCACCCAGGGAACCGAGACTGCTCAGGTCGCCGAGACCACTGAGACCACTCAGACCACTGCCCGAGCTAGGCAGCAGAGAGGCCAGAGCTCCCAAACCGCTATCGCTGCTGGAACCTCCCAGAGATCCAAGGCCGCTGAGACCGCTAAGGCCACTGAGGCCACTGAGGCCACTGCTTGAGGAGGAGCTAGGGATGAGAGAGGCTAGAGCACCGAGACCACTCTCGCTGCTAGATCCTCCCAGGGAGCCGAGACCACTCAGACCACTGAGGCCACTGAGACCGCTGCTGCCAGAGCTAGGAATGAGGGAGGCCAGAGCACCTAAGCCACTGCTAGATCCCAAACCGCTACCCAGACTGCCGAACTGGCGGTTCTCAATGGTTCTGGTAGGCGCCCCCAGAGCGGCCCCAACGAAAGAAAGAGCGATGACGGTCTTCATGGTGAAGATGATGATAACGAGAGACTGAAGTAGAAGTAAGTAAAGAGACCAGCTCTTCAGCAGAGATACGCAGCTTGATAACGAAGGAATTGAATGAATGGATGAAGACCACTTGAACGATTCTTCTGGCGAGACCAGATGGACTGCTTTTATATCTTTCCCTCTGTCGATTCTGAAACTTCCCGACCATACCAACCGAGGATGACTGAAATTTTTCCATTTCCTCTTTCGGATGTCCTGGTGTACCTCGACCCAAGTTTGGTCTACAGTTGTATACTTGAGGTCGGCCAATCGGGCAAATGACAAGGCCCCCTGAAACGGTGGACCCTGTCTCGCAGCCCGACGTTTCGCTGTGCAACAGGGACAAGCCGGCAAACCTTGTTTATTGAAGGTCTTTACGACCCTTCCCGGGTAGATACTCCCTTCGTTAATTATCACCGAAGCCCTAAATTTCAGCATTGTTCCCTTTTTTTGGGGATTTGGGATTGGCCTATTGTGAACCTCATTCCATATTGCAATAAGCAAAGTGAGCCCCGTACTTGCAGTGTCGATCTTCTCCGAGAATCAGCCGGTCTGGTAAGGGCTGTTTCAAAAGGCGGGCATGGATCACTACGTGTGGGATATCCAGAGAACAAAACCCTCAGATCGTAATCAATTTCGATCAGAGAAGTACCGAACCGCGGGATTCGGTATTTGTATAGATCATAAATCAGTGAGAGCCAGACCCTGCGGTCGGGGAAAGTGTTTCTGGTAGATTAAAGCGTTTACGTTCGATTGCCCCAAAATTGAGTCGTTCCTGCCGAATGGGGTAATCCGGCCGACCACTCCAAATTCGGGCTTCGATCGGGTGTGATATATCGAGATGTTTACCAAGAGGATGCATATAGCCACATGATCATGATACGGGGATTTCGTTGCAGTCCGAAGAATAAAGTACCCTGGCAAGTGACGCCCGAGGGTGTGTTGATCTACATGTTTACAAAACAAGTCTCAGTTAAACCAATTCATATGTATTGTGATCGATTGAAGTAAGTACCCTGGTCCATATTTCTAGAGCATTTCCGCTATGAAAGCAAACGATAGAGGGCAAATATAGCTCGACTGGTATATGATACGCGAAAGAAACCGGTGATGGATCTTCCAAATATGCAAGGACGGAGATCCAAAATCCAGAATACGCACAACAAGAAGCAGGACCCAATCGGGGCTAGGCTGTACAACGCCCGGAGAGGATCCCGAAGAAAGGGAAACGACAAGATGCCGCGAAAAGAGACAAGAAAGCGTATGGGGTATGCATGATGGAGGAAGGTTGGCCGAGGAGAGATAGAGAGGATGGAGGGAACGTGAGGTGAGAGATTAGGGATAGGTGGTAGTGAGAGTGTGCTGCAGGAGGTAGATTACATTTAGTTCAGGAGCTTGTTGCTGGCAGTGTGGATGGTGTTGGCGACCCGGTCGATCCAGTGTTGGGTGAGTGTCCAATTCCCGGTATTGATACTGTCGCGAATTGCAGGGAAGATGGAAGCATCGTAGCCCGACCAAAGTTCTGGGCCGAACACAACGTGGCGGAATTGGGTTCGATTGGGGATCTAGAATTGAGCAACACCGTCAGTCGGAGATAAACAACCATTTTCATAGGAAAACAGGGACCACTTACACCGCCGTCCGCATCTAGATCCAATAGATGAGTGTCGAATTGGGCCATTCGAACATTGTGGTTGACCCGCTGGATCGCCATGACGTTGCTCTCGTATCCACCAGAGCCCCAGACACTATCGTGCCAGACATCATTCCAGGCCTGGAACCGAGCCGTGTTGGCCTCGAGCTCCGCCGCAGCGTTATACATAAGTTGCATGTCGACCTCGGCGTTCTTGCTCTTGGCAAAGTCATCCAGGTCTTTCACCCATCCGGTCACGGATTTGCCGTAGGCTTCCATGTCAAACGGCAACATTGGGTTCTCTGAAACGTCCAACAAGAGAAGCGACCAGAACTGAGCAAGAAGCTTGTGATACACGAAGCCGGGATCGCCAAACTTCTCCATCCAGTCGTATGATTCGTAGCAGCTGTGGTAAGGGTACGCCTCGCCTTCAAACCCGAAATCAATGCTTGAAGTGCCGGCAATGTCCTGAAAGGCGACGTAGTCACTGCCTGCACCGAGAGGCTCGAGCCGCTGGCCTCGGTCATCCCAGAGTTCCTTTAGCGTCTTGTTGGAAAAAGGGTCGGAGAGACGGCCCAAGATCTGGTGCACCGAGCGCTCGAATACTGGCGAGCCTGCTGCACGGAATTTGGAGCCCGAGACTCCCACGTCGACATTCAAGTAGGCGTATCCGTTGGCTCGAAGATTATCAATCTCTTTCTCAACATGCTCCGTTGAACCGATCAAGTTGTACTCTTCTCCATCCCAACTCACAAACTCGATCGTCCGAAGTGGCCTCCACCCGTAAGTGAGCAGCTCACCAAAGGCTCGCACGATTTCCAAGAAGACGGCAGTCCCACTGCCGGGATCGACACTGCCCAAGCACCACGCATCTCGGTGATTGCCGACAATGATTTTCTTGTCGCGCTCTTCCAATCCAATAATCGTTCCATGAACGTTATAGATTGGCCGTCGCTCGACTTCATCCTGGAGGTTCATCAGGTGCACCGTGGGTGAACTCTGATCGCCCGTCCACCATTCTTGGACTTTGGGCACTCCGCCTACCCATTCCTCCGGTACCTTGGACCCATGGCCTTCGATCGCCTGCAACAGTCGCTGCGCATCGCGCCAGGCGATGGGCAAACTTGGGATCTTGACCAGGGCAGGACTGTCTTCCGGGGACAGCCGTTTCTTCTCCTCCGGGGTAGACGCAAAACCCGGGCTGAGAACGTCGCCAACAATATGAGACATGAGGCTGACACCACCTCGCTGCACACCATCGGACGGCATAAAACGGCCCTTCGGGTATGCAGGACCTTGCACAAAGCCGTCCTGAGCTGGATCGGAATAGATGATACAACCCACCGCTCCAGCCAATTCGGCAGCCTTGATCTTCAGTGCCCGATCACCTTCAGTGCCGTAGTATCGTACCAAAGCGATCGAGCCTTTCACTGAGATGCCTTTATCGGCTAGAAGCTTGAAATCCTCGCGCGATCCAAAATTGGCATATACTAGAGGTCCCGTCACATTTCCAGACTTGGAATGTCCATGGAACACGGGGTACTGGGCCCCATTCTCTTCGAGGGTGGCCTCCCAGACTAGATGAGGTGGATCCACAATGGCCACTTTGCGACCGTCGTCGCGCGGATAGTTCAAGTAGACCTGGAACTCTTCACGGTTCACCTCATCAAACCCAGCCTTGTGGAACTCATGCTCGATCCATTCTGCCAGCACAAAGCTTCCTTCGGTTCCCGCAACACGAGTATTACCAGCGACCAGCTTCAAGTTCTCGGCAATGTTAGTTTCGTTGATGTGCCCCTGAATAAAGTTCTCCACCGACGATGCACTGTAAGACTGGCCCATGACCATGCGGTTATTGAGGTTGAAGACGTCTCCGATAAAGAAGACGTAAACCAAGGAAACCACCAGTAGCAACGCAAAGAGCCGCAAAAGCATGATACAGCCATGGTCCTTCATGCGCGCGCGAGTATCACTGAGATTGATCGTGAAACGGAAGCTGGGCATGCGCGGGAGGTACCGTTGCAGGGGTCGTTGAATCGCGGATAGCGTGCGGGTGAGACTGGAGAAGCGTTTGGAGAAGTGATGTCGTAGCCGAGGACGACTGCCGCTGGAGGAGCCTTGTCCGGAGTCGTCGACATCCATCTGATCGAGTTCCCTCCGCAGTGCATCGGTCGACCCCCGGGTCGAGCCCGATGCGGAGGAGGCGAGGTCATCGAGACTACCGCGCTCGGATTCTACCGTCGGGGGTTGATAGTTGGAGGCCTCGCGACCGAGGAGACCTTGTCGTTCGGCATCGGTGCCGTCACCCAGGTCGGATCGGGATGAGGAAGATTGGGCAGTGGCTTCTTCGTATGTTGGGATAGGGAGGGATTTGTACTCGAACTTATCGTCGCCCATGGTGGCACGGGGTCAGCTCGGGGGAGCCGGGGTAAGCGGAAGACGCGGATACTGCGATCTGGACGATCATGATCTGCTTTGTCTAGGAAGGGAAACGAATGGCCAGCATCATCCCCACTCTGTACGGCGTGGGAAGATGGGGGATAGTTGTGGCGGTGGTGGTTGAGCGAAGGTCGAGAGACTGCAGATCGCAAGGACGGGGGAGAGGAGAGAGTTTGGCTGCCTTGAGGCCTTCCCCGACGGCTCGTGGCGCAGCGACCCACGCCGAGGGCCTTCTGGCCAACGCGCGTCGTTGTACACCCATTGGCAACATTGGCAGCATTGGCAGCATTGGCCGCATTGGTAGCATTGGTAGCATTGGCAACGTTGCCTCTAGAAGGTCGCCATACCTATGCTTGTGCTTTTAAAACACCAGGAACAATCTCTCTCTAGTCAGTAGTGGCAGATACATCCCGAGCCTTCTCCCAGGCGATCATTCCCCAAGGGGCTAAAGCACGGGGTGGTCCACTCGTAGTTCCTCTTCGTCACTTTGACAGGTAGCCACGCTTCATGTCAGGTATATTGTTTGATGCCTTCGGTGGTACTAGTTGACTCGAAGCGGACTCCTCCAATTCACACTGTCATCCGGATTTGGAGTTCTCTACCCTACGATAAGAAGGAAGTTTCTACCGGGTGCCATACCGGAATCTGCTGGGACAAGGGCCTCGCGCATCCGAAGTGATGCCACTCATGGACGGAGTGTGTAAATCTAGTGGTACGGAGGCCATTGGATCCAATAATCCGATCCACCTCTTCGGGGAAGATTGATTCGTTTCTCAAGCAAAGGACCAGAGAAACCGCCCCTCGCACAAAGTGGATACACACCAGATCCGAGATAAGATTGCCGAGTTATATGCGGAACGGACTGAGACTGCCATCGCCCGAACAGCAAAGTAGCTTCATAAAATCG